AGAGAGAACCCAGAAGTCCTGACTCTACCCGGACTCTAACCAGCAGACCCACCCTCTCTTGATCCCAAGGTGTCCCAGTGCTGGGGGGGCTGAGCTCAGGAGGGGGGCCTGGGACCCAAAGTCATGCAGGAGCCCAACCCTCCTCCCTCCCCCCCACACTCAGCCTGGAGGCCGCTTAGCTGGGCAGAAGCTGCACATGTCAGACGGGGACGGGGCACACGGAGCCAAGCAGCCCTGGCGGGGTCCCTGGGCACCCACAGGCCCACAGCCAGCCCTTCCTCTCTGCTCCTGGCCTTGGGCACCAGGGCAACCCGGCAAGTGCCAAAGGAGGCCATCAATGCCCAGTGGGTCCCACCATCCGGAGATGCTTGATCCAGCTGGACGTTCCTCTGCTCAGGGCAGGGGTCACCGGGAGACTTCTCCAGATTGGGCTGTCCAGGAGCTCAGATGATCGAATGGTCCCTTCCGGCCTTAAACGCTCAATGAGCTCCGAGAATCCCCCTCTGGGCCAGCTGATGCCACCGAGCAGTGGTTGCCTTTGCTGGAGCTGTGCGGAGGACCTGGCCCCTTTGCATTCGGACTCCCCCCTCCCTTGTTTAGCTGCTGTTTTAAGGGAGACAAAGGGCAGAGGAAGCCAAATTCCAGGGCTGAAGCCTGAGGCCACTCTCAGAACCGTGTCCCTGCCCAGATACAGCCACAGCTCCAAGAGCAGCCTCAGGTTTCGGGGTTTCACTTGAGCCAGCTCTGGTCCTTCTCAGTGGGGGTGATCATGTTGCTTCCTTGTTAGCACCTGGCAGAAAAGGGGCTGAAGGCCTTGGAAAAACGTGGGGCCTCGTGTATGCATGGGCATGGGCATGCATGTACGCGTGCAGGCATGTGTGTACGCGTGTGGATATGTGTGTGTCTGCACGTTTGTGCATGCACATGTGTACCTGTGTGTGCACACGTGTGTCCCTGTGTGCATATGTCCCCATGTGTGCATCCGTGTGCACTTGTGTGTCTCTGTGTGCATGTGCCTGTGTGCTTTCATGTGTCCGTGTGCATTCACGTGTATGTGTGCATGCCTGTTTCTATGTACACACGTGTCTGTGTGTGCATTCATGAGTCTGTGCTGGCATGTGTCTCTCTGTTGTATGCGTGTCTGTGTGTGCATTCATGTGTCTGTGTCGGCATGTGTGTCTCTGTGTACACATGTGTGAGCTACAGTTCTTCGGGGGAGTTCAGAGACAAGCAATAAGGATGTTCAGGGTCTGGAGGGGTTAGTTTATGGGCAGGGCTCAGAGGAGAGGAATGCATGTAACTTGGCCAGATGACAGTTAAAGGGGCACATTAGGGAGGAGGGATGGTCCGGTGGGTCAGGAGACCTGGATTCAGTTCCCTGCTTCAGCACAGACTCCCTGAGCAAGTCACGTAGCCATTCCGTGCCTCAATTTCCCCATCTGTACAATGGGGATAATAGTCCTGCCCTGCCTCTCAGGGGCATGTGGATTAAGCTCAGATACTGTGGGAAGGTGGACAATGTACTTCCCTATACCAGGCACAGGACAATCCCCCAGGGGGCCAAGGAAGCGTGGATGGCGCCCAAGAGATGATCGTTAAGACTAACGGGGCAGAATTAAGAGAGGGAACCTTTGCCCCCTGGCAGACCTATTAGGCTGCAGAACAGTCCTGCGAGGGTGGGGGGCAGGTGGAAGGCCCATTGTTAGCTTAGGCAATTTATAATTGCAGTAACACCTACCGGGACCCAGCTAGAATGCAGGAGCCCGCCGGGCTGGGTCCTGGACAGACACGGTCCCTGCCTTGCCAAGTGTATAATCTAACCAGGCCAAGGGTGGGAGGGGAAACTGAGGCACGGAGCGGGGAAGTGACTTGCTTAGGGAGTCTGTGATGAAGTAGGGAATTGAATCCAGGTGTCCTGAGCCCCAGGCCAGCGCTCTATCCACTAGACCATGCTGCCTTGTGGGAGTGCTAATGGAAGGCATTAGGCGAACTCATAGCTCTTTGTCTCCGAAACGAAACACCTCTGAGCCAGTCAGCAAAGGGTGTCGCCGGCCTGCGGGATACGGGGACCCAGCGAGCGATGCTGCACCCTGGCATCGCCGCTGCAGCCTCTTACTGGAAGCCGAGTCACGCTGAAACCAGAGCCGCAAAACCTGCAAGGGAGGGGCGCTTCCAAGGGCGCTGAGCTGGATGCTGCATGTGGGTACGGGCTTGGCTGGGGGGGAGTCACCCGGTGGATCTGCCGCTTACAGGCCCCCGGGGGTCTGGGTTTGAGTCTCAAGGGCTGTGACATGCAGGAGGCCTGAAGATGCTGAATCACTTTAATGGCTCTCTTTGTCAGTTTCATGCTGGGGCAACATGGGGGCAGGAAGGAAGTCGGGGTGCGGATGGGAATCGATCTGTAAAAAGGCAGGAAAGCTTAGGGTGACCAGATAGGGACAGTCCCAATTTTTGGGTCTTTTTCTTATATAGGCTCCTATTACCCCCGCCCCCCCCCCGGTCCCGATTTTTCACACTTGCTGTCTGGTCACCCTAGCGAAAGCTGGGCAGGACCCACAGGGGATCGCGTAGGGAGCTGGTGGTCTGAGCTCCCAATTCTTGCAGCTTCTGCACTTCACCTCACAGCTTTGTCTTGGTACAGTCCAGTTCCCGCTGCTCCCATCCCAGGCCCCGCTGACTGGTGGAGAGAGAGGGGACCAGGTTGTTCTTTGTTTGCTTTCTAATATTGCAAGGCACTCCAGCACCACCGCTGCGGGGGGGAGGGGGTACACTACAAAAAACCTGGAGTGAAAGAGGCAGGGAGATTAGATTTGGGATCAGAAGAACCAGCTAGAAAAGCCTTCCTTTCGGCTACAAAAGCAACCAATGAAATAACCCCCACCCGCCTTGTGGAAGAGGGAAGGGTACCGAGCAAATGGGAGCGCAGCTACCACAATGATTAATGGGTACCGCCTGGATAGATAGATGAGATGGGGGGGGGGTATGGGATAGACAGATTTGGGGTGGAGAGATGAGATAGATTTTGCCCTGGGACTGGCAGCAAGAGCTTTATGTCCAAAGAAGAAAAAAATTGCAATCAGTGGGAGCTGCGGATGCAGAGTACAGCAGAGAATGGGGTCCTGAGACCCAGGGCGGGTACAGTCCTAAAGTGGTTGTGTCACAGAGTCCCCGGCCGATGCTCTGCAACTGCTCCCTACGAAGCCAGTCAGGACTCTGGGGAGCCTCCGCTCTCGGAGCAGACTGTCTCCAGGGCAAGACGCTTCCACAGCTTCACCTTCCTGGGTCTGATCTCAGAGCATTCAGCATCCTCTGCCCCTCCGTGCGCTTCCCACAGCGAGTCCGCTTGGGCGGGCTCCTGGGGCAGCCAGAGGGCCCTGCACCCCAACTCCGCAGCCAGACGTGACTGTCAGCCAGCCAGTAAAACAGAAGGGTTATTAGATGACAGGAACACGGTCTAAAACAGATCTTGTAGGTACAGAAACCAGGACCCTCAATCAGGTCCATCTTGGGGGGCAGGGAGACCAGACCCGGGTGCTGGACCTCCCTCCGTCTCCCCAGACAGCTCCAAACTGAAGCCCCCTCCAGCCCCTCCTCTGGCCTTTGTCTCTTTCCCGGGCCAGGAGGCCACCTGATCCCTTTGTTCTCCAATATCTTCAGTTGGCACCTTGCAGGGGAGGGGCCCAGGCCATCAGTTGCCAGGAGACAGGGTGTCAGCCATTCTCTGTGCAGATACCATCACAATGGCCCTCTAGGGCTCTGCAACAATCATACACCCTTATCCCACCGCCTAGAAACTTAAGAAAGGCAAAGGGGAGACTGAGGCACCCACACAGTATTCAGAGAAAACATTAAGAACATTCCCACTTTGTCACAGGTGGCTATACCCAGCCCAGGCAGGCCTCTCCGAAGGGCCCAGTTCTAAGGCAGGCTCAGCGGCCTCTCCTCCATCCAGGCCCAGCACAGCAGCAGCTGGCAGCTTGGCACAATAACCAGGCCGGGAGATGGTGCCATTGGCGACAGGGCTTGGGATGTTTTTTTGGGGGGAGGAAGGAGAGAACGGGGCCTTTGCAGGCGCCCCGGTGCCACAGCTGCTATTGCACGGGGGGCATCCCAATAAAGCGCCAATGGGGGTGGTGCTGAGCCCCACTTACACGGTGGTTCCCAGCGTGCGAATGCAGCAGCATTTTCCCCAGGTCCTGACAGCCTCCCCAGTCCCAATCTCCACCCCCTCACTGCCCCCCCTCCTCAGATCCACCCCATGGCCCTTCTCCAGCCAGCCCGGCCCAACCCCGGCCCATGCCAATCACAGACCCCTCCTGCCCACCCCACAATCCTTTCCCAACCCCCCATCCTACACTCCCCAGCCCCACACCAACTTCCCTTCCTCTGCGCCTCATGGCCACTCTCCCCACACAGTCAAACTTTCTCTCCTAGCCCCACCTAAGGCCCCTAAACCTCCTCTCCACCCCAACACCCCCAAATACTGCACTCGTTACAGACCTCTTCCCCAAATCCACCCTACACTATATACCCCCACCCCTCACCGCCGCCCTCCACCCAAACATACCTGCATCCCCAACCCACATGGCCCACACACCCCCCTCCAGTCCCACACCACAGCCCCACATAGCCCCTCCATCCCCACACCACAGCCCCACATACCCCCTCCAGTCCCACACCACAGCCTCACATACCCCGTCCAGCCCCACATCTCCCCATCTGCAGCCCCACAGCCCATCCCCACAGCCCCGCTCCAGCCCCACAGCCCAGCCCCACATCTCCCCATCTGCAGCCCCACAGCCCCCCTCCAGCCCCACAGCCCAGCCCCACACACCACCCTCTCCAGCCCCACATCTCCCACTCCCCACCCTGCACCCCAGCCCCACGTGACCCCCTCCAGCCCCACGTCCGCCCCCAGACTACAACTCCCAGGCTGCCCCGCGCGGCCGGGATCTCGTCGGCCCCCGCCCTCCCCTGACGCTCTCGCGAGATTGGCGGCTCCTCCTTGAGTCCCGGCCCCGGTGACTCCAGCTCAGGCCCCGACCCGGCCCCGCCGCCATGGCCGAGCCCAAGTACGCGGAGCTGCCCGGCATCGTGAGTGCAGGGGGGAGGGGTGGGGATAACTGGGGGGGCGGGGGGTTGGGGGGCTGTGGGGGGAGGGGAGGGTGGGGGTAATGGGGGGCTGTGGGGTAACTGGGGGGCGGGGGGTTGGGGGGAGGCAGTGAGGAGGTGGGTGAGGGTAACTGGGGGGCTGTGGGGTGGGGTGTGGGGTGGGGATCTGTGGGGGGAGGGGGGCTGTGGGAAGAGGGGTGGGGTAACGGGGGGGAGGGTGGTTGGGGGAGTGTGGGGGGAGGTTGGTGGGGATAACTGGGGGGAGGCAGTGAGTGGGTGGGAGTAACTGGGGGGCTGTGGGGTAACTGGGGGGAGGGTGGTTGGGGGAGCTGTGTGGGGGGAGGCAGTGAGGAGGTGGGTGGGGGTAACTAGGGGGCTGTGGGGGGAGGGGTGGGGATCTGTGGGAGGAGGGTGGGTGGGGGGCTGTGGGAAGAGGGGTGGGGTAACGGGAGGGAGGCAGTGAGTGGGTGGGGTAACTGGGGGGCTGTGGGGTAAGTGGGGGGAGGGTGGTTGGGGGAGCTGTGGGGGGAGGCAGTGAGGAGGAGCCGTGGGGGGAGGGGTCACTTCTGTCCCTGGAGCCCCCTGTGTTGTTGGGTGCCCCCCGCCGAACCCCGGTGCGTGGGGGATGTTCCCGAATGGGGCGTTGCGGTTTGATGCGAGTGAGGGGGTGAAGTCCCAGCCTAGCTCCCCCCAGGGCGCCGCTGGCCCGAGCGCTGCTCTGTCTCCTTCTCACGGGTCCCAGCACTTCCCTTGGCACCCGATTTTAGCCCCCCTGGACCCCATCGGCGCCAAGCTCTGGGGCTTCCCACCGTTCTCCTGGGAGCTGGTTTCCTGGGTCTCCCTTCCTACCCCGCAAACACCAGCGCTCGCGGTTCCTGCTCTGGCGTGGCAGAGCGTCCTTTGTACGAGGTAAATGGACCCTGAGCACCTGCAGCGGGTTCCACGTCTCAGCAGGGAGGCAGTGTGGCCACGCGGCTAGAGCACCGAACTGGGACCCAGGAGACTTGGGCTCTGTTCCTGGCTCTGCCACTGGCCTCCTGAGCGTCCTTGGGCAAATCGCTTTCCCCTCTGTGCCTCAGTTTCCCATCTGTACAATGGGGATAGCGACCCTGCCCTCCTTTGCAAAGTGCTTTGAGGTTTCTGGATGAAAAGTGCTGGATAACCGCTAGGGACTGCTGTCTGCAGAGACACGTACAGAACTGCTGGCGTTGCTTAGTCTAGCTCTGGGGTGATGTTGTCGTGGGTGGGAAAAATAGGATGCTGTTGCTAAGATGTGTTTGTCATGCAAATCTGTATGTCCTCGGTATAGGGTTACATGTGTCTGTCATTTGGGTTAGCCCAAACTTCAGAACGTGCACAGATTAATGATTGGCAGTGCCAGGCACCAGCTGGCACAGTTGAGGTCTTCCCCCCCCAAATGTTAGGAACTGCTTCCCTTTGTGAAGGAAGCAACGTACTTCCTGGATGTTCAGTATCCCCACAACCCACCTTTTAAGATCCATGGGTCCTACACGTGCCCATCACAACGTGTGGTGTACCTCGCCCAGTGCACCAAATGCCCCAGTAGCAACTATGTGGGTGAAACGACACAATCGCTAGCTACGCTCTCGAATGAACTGGCCCAGAAAAATGATAAAAGACCCACCATCTCACCCGTGGGTGAACACTTCTTCCCAAAGCGATCACTCCAGATCTGGCCTCGTCCTTGAAGGAAACCTGCACAACATCTACAAACGAGGACCCTGGGAGCTTAAATTCATAACTTTGCTAGACGCTAAAAATCACAAACTTAATAGAGACACTGGCCACTTCACCTTGAACGGTCCCTCGAAATAAGTGCTAACTACTCATGCTAAGCAATCCGTTCCACCTTGTATTTAGCTGTGACGCTCTGAGTACATTTCCCAGACCCGAAGAAGAGATCTGTGGAAGCTTGAAAGCTTGTCTCTCTCACCAACAGAAGTTGGTCCAATAAAAGAGATTACCTCACCCACCTTGTCTCTCTAATATACTTTCTGGAAGCAGACGTGTTCTCTGTGTACCTGGCGGTGTGAGGCGGGCACTCGCTTTGGGTGCTATTCTTTGCAATAAGAGCTGCGTCTGTCCAGAACTGCCAGCTGTCCTGACTATAACACATTTGTGCTTCTAGGCCAAGAACGAGCCAGATGTTTACGAGACTAGCGATCTCCCAGAAGACGACCAGGCGGAGTTCGATGCGGTAAGGTCGTGTGGAACGCAACAGCTCTCTGACTAGCGTTGTGGTTAGAGGGCCGTGATAAGTGGGTGTGCCAATCCCAAATCATTTCCAAAGCTGCTTTTGCCCAAATGACTCCGGTAACTGTGCCGTATTGGGTGTAAACTCCAGCAGATCTGGGTAGCTGAAAGCTCATAAAATGGTACTGTTTTCAGAATAGTTCCTAGCAAGGAAGGTGCGACAGTCCTCTTCTAGAAATGCTGCCCCATAAACATCTGTTAAATCCTTTTCTTGGCCTTTTCATCATCCCAAAGGAGAACTTGCGTAAGGCTTTGGGGAAGGAAATCTCTGAAGAGGCCCTTTGCTTTTCTTCATCACTTTCTTCCAAACTGGAATTGGGTCTAGTGGCAACTGGAGAGATTATCTGCTTTAAATACAGTTGAGTTTGGTAGTCAGAAAGGGACTGTTCTCCCTTTGACGTGAGGTGCTCACCACGTTTGTTTGGTTAAATGCAAGATAGTGGGGTGGGAGTGGGTTAAAAATCAGATGACATCTTGGCATTTTATTTTCAAACAACAAATATATATTTGGGGCATCCTGGAACTCTGGTCTATGAAATATGCCTTTGGGCTTTCCTTGCCAGGCATAACACCAAAGAGAGATGGCTTTTCTTGTAGCTAGTGAAGCAAATCCGGCTGCTGTACATTCTGCAGTCGGGCTGTGGCTGTATGTATGCCGTAGGGGTTTGGGCAAAAAACCAGAACAAAACCCCACTGTTGCTAACACTGGGGAAGTCTCGGTGTAGGCCAGGCTTCTGTGGCTGCTGACGCTTTAAACGCCTTATTGTCTAGCTGCGCAGCGCCAGGGCTAAGCAACACGGTGTTAAACATGGAGGCAGGCTCTGTCAGCGCTCCCGGCAAATGGAAAACGTTTGCCAAAAGCCCTGGTGTAGATGAGGCTTTGAGGACTAGAAATGACAGCTGGCCAAACCCGGTCCTGATTCGAATACGTTCTCTTTCTGATACGAGAGCAGCCCTGATGCTGCCGACCGTTCTTCAGTGATGCCTAATGCACTCCCGCGCCCCTGGAAATCCACACCGTGGATTTGTAGCCTGCATGAGGCTGCCCAGGGGAAAACGCCGACTGAAAGCGTCCATTAAACTCTCCGTGTTTGGGTCTTGCGCCTAGTTTGGCCTAAGCCCATTGTAAAAGCAAACTGTCTAACATCTCATCGCTGCGGGGAGCGCAGGGTCTGTTGAGCCTTCTGCGGGAGCTGTGCTCAGCAAGGGAATTGCAGAAGGTACATTGGCCTCATGGCGTCTTGCTTTAGAAAAGGGAGTTTTCAGGGGTGGGAAGTCGCTGACTAAAACGTCCGGGAAATGCAGGCTGCAGGCACTGAGGGAACACTAGAGGCTCAGGGTTGAAAGCATCTCAAAATAGCAGCACGAATGGGCGTGCCCTGGAGACAGTCTCATTAACGGGACTTGATGGGTGCGGTGCTGGGGGTCGCAGGCTGAGCTGTGCACCACTTTGAAACGTGACTCCCCGCGTGCTGCCTGCCTGCCAGGAACAGCTTCCCTTGCCCCGGCTGTGTGCTGAAGGTGACGAAAAGCGGTGATAGAGGAGCAGTGAAAGCCAGGGCTGAGTGATGGCTTTGCCTTTGTCATCCCTGCCCTCAGATCAATGCTCACGTACCCAGGGGTGGGGCGGATCCACCCTGATGGGAATGAGAGGCCGGGGGCAGGTCGCTGGCCCTTTCTGGGCCTTGGTTTTCCCAGCTGTAAAATGGAAAGGATCCTTTCCCACCGCCCGGGGTAACGTTTACAAAATGCGTTGCAATCCTCTAGCGATCGGTGCCCTCCAAAGCGCACTTGGTAGCTTGAGAGAGAACGGGTGAATTTCCCTTGCTGAGCAAAGACTAATGTCATACGGGTGATTTATCGTGACCTATCGCCAGCTGGGAGTTGAGGGTTCTCTGCCCTGCTTTCGAAGTCCTTTCCCTCCCAAGTCTCAGGCCTCTGAGTCGGAAGCCTTTAGCAGGGCACTGTTTAGTCAAGGAGTAGCTGCCATGGCATGGCCTAGGGTTGTGGCATCTTGTTGCGGCCCGGAGCTGTGCTCGGCTCGGGCGCCCGGACGAGTGTGAGAAGGATTGCGGTCTGTAGCGTTTGGAATCTTGCTGGCGTTTCCGGTGCAAGTGACTAGACCAGGAGCTGGGAGAAAAATCGCCCGGTTTTGATTGAAAATGAGCTTAAAAGCAGCAACCCAAGTTGGAGACACTTCTGCAACAAACCTGGAAAGTAGGTCAGCACTTGGGGGAGACGTGGGTCTTTCTGCTCGAATCAGCGTCAAGGGTTTGGCTGATTCACAGGAGCAGACAGAAGGGGCGTTAAAAGAATGTTCTCCAAGGTGGGGGCGGTAACGCGAACACCCTGAGTGGCCATGTTGTGTAGCCACCCACAAGGAAGCGAGGGGGTTCCCTTCTCTGCAGCTCTCGCGGCCTACCTGAGGGTTTAACGTAAGCAGGAAAGTGGAGCCGTGAGGACTAGGCTGGCTTACAGATACGTGGTGCCGGTGGGAAACGAAGGAGTGTGCGCATCCTCCACCAGCCTCCGATGTAACGAACCGCTTCCCTCATTAGTCAGAGGTTTAGCTTTCGCAGTGCAGCATGTTCCCCCCCGGTGCCCTTCCCACTTCCTCCAGCTCGGGCTGGGATCTCTGCAACGAAGGGACCTCACTTAGGGGTCTGGGCAATTGCCTCTTTGCTCCGACTTTGCACTAAGGCTTCCCCCTTCCTTAGCTTCCTGGCTGTCCTATCATCTTCTCAGGCTGCGAGTCCTTCCCCTCCATCATGTTGTCACGGACTCACAAATCATGCCCACTCCTGGCCCCGTGCGGTCCGTGGGGGGTGCCCCTTTCAGTGAGACAGCCCTTCTCGGGGGTCCACTCTCTCCCGGGGTTAGGCCCCTCCACCTCCTGGAGCCGCACCTCTCTGAGCCTTAGTACGTCTGTATCTGCCGTGGGCCTCCTCAGGGAGTCCCCTCGCTCTGGACCCCCGGGGCCTCCACCCCCTGAAGGGGTTGATGCAACCCTGTTTTCTAGCCTGGAGCGACTCTCAGCCAGTGTAAAACAGGAGGGTTTATTGAGCGTTGAACACAGCACAGGAAACTCTCAGGGCCTCAGGCCTGGCCTCCCTCAGCACAGCACATCCCAGTCTCCCCAGGTGGGCTCTGCCTGCTCCCCCTCTCCAGCCCAGAGCCCCCCTGCTTCCCAGCTGGGCATCTGATAGCACCGGCCCCAAGCCCCGCCTCTGTCCATTGTCTTCTCTCCAGGTAAACAGGGTCGCCTGGGCCTCCTCTCCCCTCTTCTGTCCTCTGGCTGGAACCGGCTGGTCAGGTCATGGGGTCCTCTCGTCACAGCCCATTGTCCTCCCACTGGCCAGAACCGGCTGTGACTCCTGAGCTGGGCCTCTGGGTCGCCAGGTCACCAGTCGCTGAGGTATCCGTCCTCCAGGCCATTGGCTGGGATCCCACGTTCCCTCTCCGGTCCTCTGTAACAACAAACTCCCTCTCCCCTCACCTCGTTAAACCAGTAACACCCAGGGAAACTGAGTCCCACCCCCTCTGCATGCAAACCATTGGAAAACAAGGAAAAAACAAGAACCCCCCCCCCCACTTCGTCACACGTACACTGAACGCAAGCGCTGTCGGATGCCACAGCTCAGACTTTAGACTCTCAATCAGATGCCCCTCTTGCTTAGCCCGACTCTTTGCTACTCTGTTGTGCTGGAATTTCCCTGAGCCCTAGGATCTGCGTGGCGTACAGGGGCAGCACTGAAGAAGCCCTGTCCCCGTGCGTGCCAGGTTACATGGCAGTCAGATAGGTGAATGGGAGCTGTGGGTGCCTAGCAAGGTGCCCCCACGTTGATTTTGTCGCTTGCCTTTGGCGAGAGGGTTTGAGTCACTCGGGCTTTCTCTGGGCAACGTGCTCTGCAGTGAGGCTCCAGATGGAAACGCCATTGCAGGGTGGCTGGGAGCTGGCTTGGCTTGGCACACTCAGTTATCATTGGCCTACCTGCGTGGTGCTGTGTCCGGCAGTGTGGTCAGTGTCTGTGTTTGTGTGTGGCGCTCGCGATTGCCGCTGGCATGTTAGCCGTTTGAGTTGGCGCAGTCAGGAGACCAGGGTAAAGGAAGGTGTAAACTCACCACGCTTCTGGAGGCTGGTCAGAAACCAGGCGAGTGAAATCCGGAGCAGGTCCCGACACTGCTCCGTACCCGATGTGCAGGGCAGGCAATTCCTCTGCAACCCATGGCTGTCCAGCCACCCCGGCCCTGGCACACGATCCTACTTGAGAGCAGGATTTCACCCAAAGAAACGGCCCGCTTCTCCCAGGTTCCCTGTGCCGTGCTGTGTGAGAAACGGGCGCCGAAGGGCACGGGGTGGATGCTGGCCCATGTGGGATGGCTGTTTTCCCAGGCCTGCTGCTTCGCACCTGGGCGCATCCCCGTTGTAGAGAACTGCACAGAGCTCGGCCGTTGACTCTGAAGTGGGAACTTCCCACGTGGAAGCACAGCGGTTTTGTGGGTGCTCTCACCCCGCCTGTGTCGAGGCCTTCAGAAGCTGGGATGGAGACCATGCCCCATTGGGTGGCCCCGTCTCTCTTTAATGGCCTCCTGCCTGTAGCCAATTTGCCTCCATACTCCCGAGGTCTCTCACAGCCTGCCCTAAGGGGGCTAAAACTGAGCCTGTGCCCAGCCCCACGTCCCTCTCCAGGTGAGCAGCGGGAGATGCTGGTCTACCCTGGTTGTGCCAATAATCTGACTATGGAGCCAGCCCCGGCATTGTGGACTAGAGACCTGACTTGTAAATTACACACCCGTATTAAAACAACACACGCTCAGACGTTTCTGCCCAAACCCAGGGCTAGCGGCTCGTTTTTCCCCTGAAGAGGGCACCTGCACTCCTAATATGACCATTTTTATATTCGTTTCTATGTAGCTTTTAATTGGTTTATGAAATTCATTTTC